CGTGCTGAGTTTCATGTCATCACACAATGGCATCCCTTTTTCCTGAAACAACCCGCGATTGCAGATTGCACGTGAGAGGCCTGATTGTCCCCCGAAGAAGAGGAACCCTTCCTGAGACAACACTGCACGTTCTTTGCAGTTAGTTAACCCCGCAAGGACGCATCCAAGCTTGCACTCCTTGCTTGACCAAGTTCTCGCACTCCGTGCTTTGTTTAGTTGAAACTCCCATCTTTTCTGCACTCCGATTATTGCTCCCTCTCTACACTTGGTCCTTCCAACCAAGGTAAGTAAAACGTCGAGGTCCGAGGTCTGGAGATGGTTGGTGGTCTTACCAGCTGTCGCTGTCTTTCACAGGACAACTCGGACGATGGTGATCACACCTCGACCGCGGAAGAGAGCAGTCCCGGGAGTCGGACGCCGTCGACCCTGACCCCGTACCGCACGCGGCGGGCGCGAGCCATGACCCCGTCACCGCCTGGGGGCAAGGCTCGGATCCTGCCGCCGACGCCGCCGCTAGGGTCCCGGCGCGGCCAGAAACGACCCCGCACAGGGTCATCACGCGGCCGGGCCGCTCCGACACCCAGCACCAGCGCCCCTCCGACCCCCAGCACCAGCGCCCCTCCTACCCCCAGCAGCAGCGCCGCTCCGACCCCCAGCAGCAGCGCCGCTCCGACCCCCAGCAGCAGCGCCGCTCCGACCCCCAGCACCAGCGCCCCTCCGACCCCCAGCACCAGCGCCCCTCCGACCCCCAGCAGCAGCGCCGCTCCGACCCCCAGCAGCAGCGCCGCTCCGACCCCCAGCACCAGCGCCCCTCCGACCCCCAGCAGCAGCGCTGCTCCGACCCCCAGCAGCAGCACCAGCACCTCCTCACCGGACACCGCCAGCGGCGTCGCCCAAGGGCAGGAGGCGCTTCAAGGTCAGACTCGTAGTCAAGGTCAGGACTCAACAAGGATCACGGCTCTGGTAAATCAAAGGATCGAGTCGGAGATCGGGTAATACAATCCAAGGATCGGGTCAAGTTCGGGACCCGGGTCAATGTCACTGTTGGGGTCAAGATCAGGGGTCAGATCAAGGTCAGCGTCGGGATCAATGCCACGGGTGGGGTCCAGATCAGGGGTCAGATCAAGGTCAGTGTCGGGATCAATGTCACGGGTGGGGTCCAGATCAGGGGTCAGATCAAGGTCAGTGTCGGGATCAATGTCACGGGTGGGGTTCAGCATGGTGCGCCGGGGACCGACTTTTGGCTAAAATTCCAGGTCAATTCGAGTCACGCAGTATTTTCGTTTAATTCGGGCAAACAGGTCGTGACAGCCGAGTACCTTCGGCGGCAGCAGGTCAGCTGCGGTATTACAATAGGAGGCCAGTGACGGGATTGGCTGAACTCAAGGGTGCGCAGGTGGAATAGCAGTCTCTAAATTAACAGCGAACGGAGCTAATTAGGAACTCATTTTTAAGGGGAAAACAAACCGATGAGGTTAACAATGGCGTGGCGCCGACGCCCAGAGGATGAAAAAAAAACATGTAAAAGTAAAGCGAATGCGCCGTTCAGCTGGCGTTGGCTATTGCTGAGACGTGCCATTTGATTAAGCAGCTGAATTAAAGGAGCATACCATCGACGAAGTTAGAATTTAAGTGAGCTCCCGAAGTATTTTTTGGCGACAGGTCAGGTGGTGAGGTTAGCATCAGTGATGGGTGCGGAATCTGGCGTAAGCCAATCTGAATGGGCCCTTGTGGCTTTTTGTTGGCCTGCTTTTTGTCTTCAAGTGTTTATATACAGGGTGACGTTTGTTTAACTGATTGGCGGCTTGGCTTTCACGCAGCAAGGAAGAAGCTGTTTTTCCAACACAAATTGCTCGAAACGTAGAAATGCAGAGTAGAAACTGTTTCGACGGAGCTGCGCGGATATTATTTCAAGCATCAAGCCTTGATTCAACAGCACAAACGAGCATTTCTGCCGCCCTTTGCTTGTTCGTCGTTCGCTCTGGACCCGGCTGCGGTGAGCGTTGTGACTTACCCAGGGCGGCCAGCCGACTGTCGTAAACACATAACGCGGTCATGCTGTCCAAGATCGTTTATTTCTTTTCACCAATGCTACGCTACCGTGGGGCCGACAGTGACGTCACGCCTGCGGTCGACTCGAGCTTAGTAGATGACGGCCACATTTTTAGTTATCTTGAAGCCATACAATTTTATGCCATGTATCGGGCGTCACCTTACCTTCTCCCGCTTTTTCACGCATCTGTTAGATAAAAAGTAGGCTAGTATGATTTATGATGATATATGATGAGTATGATAGATGAAAAAGTAGGAGCCATATGATCAACGTAGTCTGTGCGCCCAAATTATCATCATCACCAGAGCCCAAATTATCATCATCACCAGAGCCCAAGTTATCATCACCATCACGCCTGCGGTGACGTCACTCCGGCAGTGACGTTACGCCTTGGGTGCCAGCCTGTGTCTGGCAGTAGGCTCAGATGAGTTCCATTGCGTGTTACCAACTGACGGGTAAACGCGGTCTGGGCGAGGCGGCTTGGGAACGACGCTATAGCTAAGGCAGAGGGTGACGAGGCGAAGACCGACACGCTTTGGGTGCGGTGCACACCCATGCACTTGCAGACGGCGGCAACCTACACGTGATGTAGTTTTACCCGAGTTCTAAAGAGGATTTTGGGCAACTTTCCCGCCCTGTCCTCGCGCCCTCGCGGATACTAAGCTGCTGCTAGCCTCCTCGCTTGCTGAGAAGCTCCGCAATCTGTCCCTTGGCGATTCGACTTGGATTCGATTCAATTCGACTCGATTCGATTCGATTTCGACTTGGCATTCCCGCCGGTATCGCTCAATGTGCGCCTGCGCGGCAGGCGGTGCTGCTCTAAGTTCTCAGCGTTGCTCAGCGCTGCTTGGCGTTCTTAGCTCGGTTCTCAGTTCTCTTAGCGCTGCTCTAAGTTCTCAGCGTTGCTCAGCGCTGCTCCGCGTTCATAGCTCGGTTCTCAGTTCTCTTAACGCTGCTCTTAGTTCTCAGCATTGCTCAGCGCTGCTCGGCGTTCTTAGCTCGGTTCTCAGTCCTCTTGGCGCTGCTCTAAGTTCTCAGCGTTGCTCAGCGCTGCTCGGCATTCTTAGCTCGGTTCTCAGTTCTCTTAGCGCTGCTCTAAGTTCTCAGCGTTGCTCAGCGCTGCTCGGCGTTCTCAGCTCGGTTTTCAGTCCTCTCAGCGCTGCTCGGCGTTCTCAGCTCGGCTCTCAGTCCTCTCAGCGCTGCTCCACGTTCGCCTTCGCCGCCCGACCGTGCCCTGGACGCTGTTCGCAGGCGGCTGCAGCAGCCAGGAGGTAACCGGCGGAGCGGAGCCAGTGGCGACATCTTGTGGCAGCGGTGGCGCCGCCTGGAGGGCTAAGCTGCTCTCCAAGTGCCGGCTGCGCATCAAGGCGAAGCGAGCCGAGCTCGGAGCCATCGTCATCCCCAGGCCGGCCGTAAACGGCTCGCCCGCCCGGCTGCCGAATGCTGGCGACGGGTGAGTTGGAGCAAAGCGATGAGTGCGACGCCGTGGCTGGGTGCGGCGGTCATGCGAGGGGATACGACGGGGGATACGACGGATACGACGGGAATATGTCTGGGGGATGTGACGCCGTGGCTGGGTGCGGCGGTCATGCGAGGGGATACGACGGGGGATATGACGACGGATACGTCTGGGGATACGACGGGAGATACGACGACGGGGAATATGACGGATACGACGGGGATACGACGCCGTGGTTGGATGCAGCGTTCCGTGGGTCATCTGAAGCGAACACTGAGGGGATGGAGCGCCGTGGCTGGGTGTAGCGGCCCGCGGGTCGTCTCGGGGGATCGGATGTCGTGCTTTGAATGTAGCGTCCATGGGTCGGCCATCTGAGGGGATGGACGGCGGCAAAAATGAGTTTGTTAGAGTTTCTTTCCACGCAACAACATGGTTAATGTAACCTCCCCCCCCCCCCCCATTTTACTGTCTGTGGTTTTTATGGCTGATATCTTTAATATGAAGTACTGCACTCGTAAAAGTTAAGCTCGAACTGGCAGCATGAAAGACTGCATTCCATGCATTCTACGCATTCCATGCATTCCATGCATTTCAGGATACAGCCATCGGACACAGATCGCTCGGGACCCGCGCCTCACGGCTCCCCGGTGCCGGTCCGGCCAGACCAGCCAGCGGCCGGAGATGGTCCGTCCCAGGTCAACGTCGGAACGGCGGCCGGGGCCGAGTCCTCGCCCCCTACCCGAAGCCCCTCGCCCGAAGAGTTCCTGGTGTGGAGAGGCCGGGGTCGCGTCCTCGGCCGAGGTCGGCTCGGGGGTCGACTCTCGAGGTGGTGTCGGCCCCTGTCGCTGGGCAGGGAGGGTGTCCACCCACCGGGTCGCCGGCGGGCTGAGACGCCTACAAGCCACCGCCGGTCACTGGAGCACCCGGCCCGCGGCGACCGCGGCGACCAGGGCTGCAATCCGCGCCCGCGGCCCGAGGTCAGGGAGGCGGGTACACAGACCGCACCTGACTACCAGCACACCATGCCTGGATACCAGCAGACCACACCTGGCTACCAGCAGACCACACCTGGCCACCAGCAGAACACACCTGGCCACCAGCAGACCACACCTGACTATCAGCTGACCACACCTGGCTACCAGCAGACCACACCTGGCTACCAGCAGACCACACCTGGCCACCAGCAGAACACACCTGGCCACCAGCAGACCACACCTGACTATCAGCTGACCACACCTGGCCATCAGCAGATCATACCTGGCTACCAGCAGACCACGCCTGGCTACCAGCAGACCACACCTGGCTACCAGCAGACCACGCCTGGCTACCAGCAGACCCCATCTAACCACCATCAGACCACACCTGGCCACCAGCAGACCACACCTGGCTACCAGCAGACCACACCCGGCTACCAGCAGATCACACCGGCTACCAGCAGACCACACCTGGCCATCGGCAGATCATACCTGGCTACCAGCAGACCACACCTGGCCACCAGCAAACCACATCTGGCTACCAGCAGACCACACCTGGCTACCAGCACACCGCACCTGGCTACCAGCACACCACACCTGGCCACCAGCAGACCGCACTGGATCACCATCAAACCACATTGGGCCACCAGCAGACCACACCTGGCCACCAGCAGACCACACATGGCCACCATCAGACCATATCTGGCCATCAACAGATCGTACCTGGCTACCAACACATCATACCTGGCCACCGTCAGACCACATTGGGCCGCCAACAGACCACACTGGGCCACCGTCAGACCACATTGGGCCACAAACAGACCACACATGGCCACCATCAGACCATACCTGGCCACCATCAGACCACACCTGGCCATCAACAGATCGTACCTGGCTACCAACACATCATACCTGGCCACCGTCAGACCACATTGGGCCACCAACAGACCACACATGGCCACCATCAGACCATACCTGGCCACCATCAGACCACACCTGGCCATCAACAGATCGTATCTGGCTACCAACACATCATACCTGGCCACCCTCAGACCGCACTTGGCCGCCAACAGACCACACTGGGCCACCAGCAAAGCCCACCCTGGCCACCAGCACACAATACTGAGCCACCAGCAGACCACGTCAGGTTACCAGCAGACCGCAGCGGGGCACCAGCAGGCTGCTGTTCAGGAGCCCCTGGCTTGCGCCTGGACAGGTCAACAGGAAGGAGTCTCATTGGGAGCGGGAGCTGGTCAGTTTTCGGCGCATCGTAAGTCTGCTCCTTGCGAAGCACAGGCTGAGAGTTCTCCGATAAATCACGGCGCAGCTTTTGCTGGCGCGCAAGATGGCTCTCGCTCCTCACGTCAAGCTGAAGCCTTTGTGGGAGCGCAGGTGGACGGGGCTGACGAGCGGACCTCTCGCCGAGCCGTTCCCGCAGCCGCAGCAGCTTCACGTCGGTCTGCTGGGCCTGGTGCCTCACGACACCCGGCCGGGGCCGTCTTCGGCCGGGTACATCGGCAGCCGCCCGGGCCTCCGGGTGGAGGCCTACCTGGGTGTGCCGGGCGGGGTTCCCCACCAGCCGCAGGTGGACAACTATATCGCCTACCGGCAGGCGGGCGCCGCCCCCCTCCTGGCGGTGGCCGGGCCCCTGCAGACGGTGGCGAGTCCTCTGCAGACGGGCGCGGGTCCCCTGCAGGCGGACGTGGGACCCTCGCCGATGCTGGTGGGACCCGCAGACGGCGAGCAGACGGCGCAAGGCCGATTTCACATGCAGACCGGTGCTCGCTTTGTCACGCCCATCATCCCGTATGCCCCGCAAGGGCAGAGTGGCGCTCAGGCAGGGTCCCGGCGTGTCATCAGGTCACCATTGCACCCCTCCGAGTCATCAGTCCTCCTCGTCGGGTCATCAGGAGGGCACCCCTCCATCGGGCTACTGTACTCAGCCCAACTGCCCCTGTCGATCGCATGTGGTTTGCAGCGCTCCACCAAGCGCATACCTGATAGTATCGGATGGCCAGGTACTGCTCGCAGACTGCGGTACCGCGAATGGCGTCTGTACTGCTCCAGGCTGGGTACGTGGCGGATCAGGAG